TTCTCCTTGAGGCCATTCTTTCCTTATGTAATGAGACGCTCTGTCCCCCGACTGTTCCACTCACGTAAGGAACAACAGTACTTAGTATATCCCTGTTGCATGCCTAGAAGAACTGCCACCACTTTCAGGTCCCCACAGATTTGCCATTGGTAGTTCTGGTATTTGATGGATTTTAGAAGGGTTACCATGTTTTGGTAAGTTTCCTTCATGTAGACAGCATGGCCAATAGGGATAAAGGGAAGTAAATTGCCATTGTGCAAGAGAACTATCTTGAGGAATAGCTTTGTGAATCTATGAACAGCCTCTATTAAGAAGCGTTGTGATTGAGATAAAATGCTGTCATCAGACCTGGTACATCACAACAGGCAACAAGGTTCTCATACTTATCGAAAAAAGGGATCTAGTATTTCTGACGATTTCTGTACATTGTAATCTTTACACCAGAGTGTAAGAAATTCCATTGCTTCAATCTTGAACCCAAAAGTTCTGCTTTATCTTTGGGCAGATACAGGTCCAGGATCAAGTCACTGAGTTGAGATTGAGTAAGCAAGTGGGGTTTTCGTTCTTCTTGTTCACTACAAAATGAAAAGATTCAGGATAAGTGACAAGAAGAAAACATGAAGCAGACCGATGCTCTACGAGTATTCTAATTCTACTTTCCCTTATTATGTTTTTAAGAAAAGGTAAAGAACAAAATATTTTGAAAGGGAGGGATAGGGTCTTGCGCCATCGACTTTGGGGAAGGGGCACCCCTGCCATCTAGTATGCAAATTTTCAATGCAGGATCGATAAAAACTAATTGGTTTTTGAGAAAAATATATAGAGATGGCATTTTGGACACCATCCACATTTGAAAGCGTTTGCCACTTGTGTTGAAACGATCGGAACAAATGGAAAAATAGGCTTTTTTCTGCCTTTCAGCCACTTTGTGCCGTGCCAAGATACAATTCTTTCATACTTTCCAATCTCAAGTCCCAAATCTTAAGTTCAGGTGAAAAACTCTTAAAAAGTCATCCTTATTAAAGACAAAAACCTTTACATTTTATCCTCTTCCTGTTGTTTTCTAGTACTTTTTTATTGACTAAATCTTACGAATATATATTATTATGTTACTCCTATATATTTATTTATTACTCCTTTGCCCACCGACACACATCTGCTTGTGTGTCTTTATATATAACATTATTGATTGCTATAATAATGGATACTGCTAAAACCAATATCAATTTTTTACTGCAAACTGCTATATATTATATAAAAAATCATGTTTATTCATAATTTTTAAAAACAGGGGAAAAGTGTGAAATATAGCGAATAAAATTTAAAGGGCCATAGCTGAAAGCTAACAATAGGATAAATAAGAACACTCTTTCAAGTTATATACTTAGAGATCGAAAAGGGGAAAATGGTAGCGATAACCTCGCCTCGATTATTTGCAATTGAACGAGTTTATTTTGAATGATACGTTTACGAATTTCAAAAGTTTTATGTCTAAAAATATTGGAATTCCAATCAAGTTGTATCAGTAGTGTTTACTGATAAAAATCTATTATGAATAAATACTTAAGAATTTTTAAATATCCTATATATCATCCTCAGAGTGTAAGTGTGAGTTTTAAGTTTTCTATATATTTGTTTATTTAATAAGTCCTAAAATCAAACTTAATAAAGTTAGGAAATTCTGTCAATTCTAACTTTCAAATTGTTTAAAAATTCATGAAGTATATTTGTTATCTAATATTTTGTTTTACTATATTGATAAAACTGTATTTTTATCAGCTTATATTAACCTCATTTTAAAATATTACATTTAGTATCTAAGAATATATTGATAGCATAGATTGCTTATCATTACTTGATTTTATTCATTATTGTTATTCGTTAGTATTGTTTGATAACATTGAATTCCATTGTGACATTTTAATATTAAAATTAAAGTTTTAAATTTCATATTTATGTTTATCATATTTATATATATGGACTTGTGACTTATCAGTATGAACTTTGCCTAATTTAATCAGGCATGAAGTCTGCCAATCAGTGCTACTACAGCCCGAGAAAACAGGTTGGTGGCAATGTTATCTCCCACCAAACTAAATTATCTTAATACAAAACCATAATCTGTTTAGTAGTAATATATGGCTCAGAAACTTGGACTATTACCAGGTGTGTCCTTGTGTTCGAGTAGAAAATCCTTTGGAGGATATTTAGAGGAATGTAGGTAGATGGAACTTGGGGATGACACAAAAACCAGGAGGTTTATGGTTTGTTTAAAAAGCCAAATGTTCAGTTGGTTAAAAAGGGCTAATTACAGTGGGGAATACTAATGGATCACAGATTTAATTTTGGGTTGTTTTGCCCCGAAAGCTTCTTCCTTTATATATATTTTTGCTTTTAACACATCATTTTTAAAATATGTCTTCAGTAAACAAAAATTGTACTATAAATTGATGATACAAGAAAAAGCTGCTTTTTATTTATGTTATGAAGAAAAAAAAATTACAATATCATAATTAATCAAAAGGCTGAATGTAGTGGTCAAGGTAATAATTCAGTCCTTAACTTGTGCCCCTATATTTTATTATATTGTGGTTCCGTGTTTTATGTGGTTAAGGTATATTAACCTCTAAAAGTATCTGCTAACATTAAAGCAATGTAGTGTATGACCAAATATTTTAGTTGCATTTAGTAATTTATTACTTATTTATTAGTATCTAAATTTTACATAATTTTCAGTTGGCAAAAAGATATTGCTCTGCTTCTCCTTCTCCTAAACCTGGATCCAAAAATATTGCAGAAGTACCTGGTTTGTCATCTAATGTTTTGGCAGTACCTTCTGAAAGTAAGTATATAAAAAAACATTGTTATAAAAAAGAAAATTGTGGATGTAAGTGAATATGTATTTCAATTGAAATTTTGGTGACTTGTAGAGCAATCAATGTTAGGTGGTTGATGTTTTTTGACATTAAAGCATTAATCATTTATAAAATGTCAGCCTTTTATAGAATAAGTACACCAGTTACTTTTGAATACTAAAGTAATTGTAATGTAAAGTATGACTATTAACGTGAAATTCAGTGATCATATGTTGATATAAGTCAGAAAAATTAATTTGGTCAAGCTATAAGCATGATGTAAAGAAGTATGACTCATATTTAAGTGAGTTTGTTTGAAAGCATAAATACCGTGTTGTTGATATTTGTTCTCATTCACTAACTTTTTCAATAAGGCTTTGATGCAACAAAGAGTCTGCCTTGTTAATGAACCAAGTCTTTTGACTCTTGCTCGTGCTCCTGCTGACTCCGAGCAGTCAGAATCCAGGAATCTATACCAATTTGTCAACGTCCTTGAACTTGAGTGAGTCGGTGGTAAGGACACTGCCAGATTGGCCCCAAAGGGATCAGCTATGGAGCTATGGGTGACCTGCCGCTGCACCATGGTTCGTAGCAATGTGCGTTTGGGTGACCCCCTCCTGGCTATCTGAGCTCCCGTAAGCAACATACGTCTGTAAGGAGATCTTATCTCGCGGCCAAAGATCTTCATGGTCTGTAGTGCCAACCGAAAAAAAAAACATATATATATATCATGTCGAATTGATAATCCTATCAAATTTTATCCCACCATCAAACCTTTTCCTGGAAAAACCAATAACCTTTGATCACACCTATTCCTGCAAAAACCATGTATCTAATACCTTTTATATCTTATAACATCTGCAATAGCTCCATCACCTATTCGTATTTCGTATAAACCTGTAGACCTAGTCACTGCCTTAATATCTTCCCACTTTGACTATTGCTGCAGAGTATATGGGGAGGTATCTGGGTATTTCAAGGCAAAATTAAGACATTTGATTAATCGATTTGTACAAATTATCTTTGGAATCCCAAGAGATGCCTCTGTTTCCCATTTCATGAAGAGTTGAAGTGGCTTTATCCTTCATACCAACGTATTTCCTGGCATCCTTCCTCTTCCAAGTCATCTAATCCCGCCGTCCTCCATATATCTCCGAGCTCCTTTTATTCAAGTCCCCTGTTCACTTCTGCAATACCCATTTCCGGTCTTCAGATTTATATACTGCACATTGGGTCCACCAAACTGTTGCTTTTGACAGATCGTTCATTATTTGATCCTTATCTCTATGGAACTCTCTGCCCTCGACACCTGTAAATTCTACCTGTTCAATCACTTCATATCCATTCAGTCTCCATAAAATTGTAAATAGATGTTTCTGTGAATATGTATATAAATTATTGGTTCATTTTTAATTATTTTAAATTTGCTACTTTATTTTTTTTTCTTAATTGATTAAAATTAGAAGGTAACCTGTATTTTATGGCTATTTTTTATTTTGTGATTCTTATATATCTCTGAGGCATTAAAGCCTACATTTTTCTCCTTTTATATTATTTTAAAGGGACTTGTCCCAAAATAAATAACGCATATTATTATTATTAAATTGGTTCCAAGAGCTATGGAGATATGGGTGGCCTGCTGCTGTTGCATTGGAGACTGGTTCATAGCCTCCTTCAGGTTATCTGTGTTTTTGCTATCAATATATGTTTGTAAGGTGACCACATCATGAGATCAAAGATCTACATGGTACTGCCAACAAAAAAATAAAATAATAAAAAATGTATTTTTGTGTATACTGTCATAAACACACACTTATATACATCATATAGGTAAATGATACATGCATCAATGCACTACTTTAAAAATATCTCTAAGGTTCATTAATGTCTCATCGTTAATTACAAACAGGAATTTCAATTTTGATATGAAGGAAAAGCAAGCTGGGTGAGTGAAAGAATACTTCTAACCTCTCAACACTCTTTATAATAATTTTTTTATTATATAATTGGGCAGCAAGCTTTTATATTTCATATGAAAATAAAGTGTTTCTCTCTTATTTTGTTATATAAATGCTTGTTTGTTTTGTACTTTTTATTTATATATAATTTGTTTGATAAAATTTACCACTAATTTTTTTTTTTTTTATGATTTACAGATGTAGGTCCTGGTGCGTCTAAAACATCGAATTACAAAAATCCTGAATATTTTTGCTATGACAATATGTCTTATTTTGAAGCTGAAATTGAAATGCTAAAATATAGATTGCCACAACCATCCAGCCAAAAGTGATAGATTTTAAAATTGTTGGGAAAAAAGAAGAGACTCGATAAATTATTGTAGATATTGTTACTTAATATGTTGTTGATTAGTTATTTTATATAAATTTATGGATCAATAATTAAATAATAAATACACTTATAGTCTTTACCTGTTATTACTCCAAATTATTTTTAGGAATTTAAATATTTCATTATTAAAAAAAAAATATAGCTATCACAATATCTTTTGTGTTCATTTTATCTCATTGACTTGACAATGGCACAAAACAGAAATATAACATTTTTTCTATGATGGAGACAGATGTACTTTATTTGCTGGTGGGGTTATTTAAATGATGATATTCACAATAGAAAGAAAAAATTAAAATGTTGCTTCATAAGCGCCATCTCTTGAATACTTTTCAGTATTGAGGAGACCGAATTAACATTATGCAGAATCCCTTCATTTAATATTTGGGAATGGATAGTTGTCGACAGCATCTTCCAGTTCCATTTATTGTGAAAATAATTAAAACATATATATTTTTTTTTCCCAGGTAAAATTTGGCATTTTCATCAAGATATGTTACAAATTTTACATTATTCATGATTAAAATTAAGATCTAGATAGATCAATAATATATTTAAAGAAGATTGAATTACATCTGTAATAAATATAATATGGTTACTGATCACTTCATTTAATAATCAGCCATTTGCGTTTAGAGTCATTCAGGTTCTAAATAGATACACAAATGATGATCAATTATAAAAATAAATCATGAATATATTTTTAATAACTTGAATACAAAAAGTAATGAACAATAAATTGTGATTGTTATTTAAACATATATCTATATTAGAAATGTGTGCAAGGATGTTTAACAAAACCATCATTTTTTAGCTTCTTCAGGACAATCTGGTTGATTTAATGGATGAGCAGCTTGAAAAGCAGGGATGATTTCAAGTTCTTTTTCGATTTTCAGAATTAATGGATATAACTGTAAATTTACTTTATACCTAAAATATACCATTTCAATATGTTAATTAAATAATTAGATATAATGTATCAATCAAATTATCTTCTTATTCATACTTCACATATATTGTGATCAAAATATACTAATAAACCAGTTTAAACCTTAGAAATAAAGATTATTTACCTCCTAGCATTATAAATCTGTGGTATCAGACAGCAGTCAGCAACAGTAATTTCATTGCCAACACAATATTTTCCAGAAGAGAGGGTTAAAAGTTTTTCAACAGCTGAAAAATATAGGAAGGGTTCATAAATATAAACATTCAAAACTTTTTTTTATTCTACTTATTGCCAAGTATTAATAGAAACATGTAGTTGGACAAAAAAAAAAAATTCCTAAAAATTCCTGATGGTCGATTGTTTTTCAACCATAATTCCCAATTTTCAAGACATTTAAGGACAGTGGACACCCCTATCTATAGGATCAATAAGGAAAAAAAAACTTAATAGGATACTGCCAAAAATATCAGAGAAGCTCTCTTTCATTTTAATCGATATCTTTTCAGCAAACCAAGCATTCCTTGTTTCTTTGGTATCATTCATCAATTTTAGTAATTTATATGGTATAATATTTTTGTTTAATGTAATAATCTTTTTGGTGCTACAAAAGAAGAATATATTCAATTTTATAATTATGAGGTAAAATGGAACAAATGTTCATGTTAGTTCTGTATGTAATAATGAGTGAAAGAGTATCTGGAAGATATTTTGAATTGTCAATTTTTTTTTAGAAATGTATAAAAGAAATTACCTTCGAAACCTTTATCGATCCATCGCTGGGCCCATTCATTCCTTTTGTCTTCTTCTAATTCACATAAAAGAGTCCAGTTTTGTAAAGGCTGTATTCCTGTGACTATTATATCACATATTTCTCGAACCTGGTATAAAATAAAACAAAGTATACATATAAGATAAAAAATAACATGGAATCCCTCACACACTCTTGTATATATGTATGGGGCTGGGGTAGCCGTGCGGGCTAAGGCTCATGTAATCGGTAACCAAGTTAAGCAACGCCGAGCGTGGTTAGCTTTTGGATGGGTGACCGCCCACCAGGGAAAGCCATGCTACTCAAGAACCTCCCACTCCACAGGTTTGTGAGGCCCGTCAACCTAGTTAAGGCAACTCACACTGACCGGGCGTAGGAATGATTACCCTAAACCCGTGTACTTGAATTAGGAATCGGGATATGGTCTAGAAGAAAAAAAAAAGTCACGTGTTTTGTTGAATAGGAAGTGACAAATGCTCATAGCGATTATCACTTTACATGATCAATATTTGAAGAAATCGTTATTTTTAACTTCTTTTTTAAAATAAAGATTACATTTATGCAATTATGTTTATTATTATACACCAAAGTTCATGGGGAAAAAATTAAGCTTTTATTAAATAATTTATTGTGTTTACTTTTGTTAAAAACACAGGTACTTCTAGGTGAAAGAATATCAAACCATATCATTTTTTTACACAACTTGAGGTAAATCTCAACTTATTTTATAATAAACCCTCAACCTAATTAATATGAACTAAAAGCTTATTAAATAAGTTTTTCTAAAATGAGGTTCAGTAGTATAGTTGAAGGGTGATAAAAAAAAGTCATATGAATAATTCATGATTTTTTTAAAAACAAAACTTTGCTTAGTTTAGCCGCTCAAAAGTGCTCTTTGAATGGTTTTACTGATGAAAAAATCCACTTTTGTTAGAAATAAATTTATCTAGTTAATAAAATAATCTAGGCTGTATACATTTCACCAATTCATTAATATTTTCACTACCATGGGAACGTTTAGGCTTACAATGCCATTTTCTAGCCATTAATTTATGTTGTATGCAAGTATTGCATAATTTAATTATATATTAGTTGGATAAAACATAAATTAATGGCTAGAAAATGGCATTATTAGAAGCTGAAACATTTCCATGGTATCGAAAATAATAAAAAGCACACACACATACAAGAATAACATAATATATATTTGAGATCGACAGTTTTTTTAATTATTGTATTGCATTAGACAAATGTTAATATTCACATATCAAAATAAAACAAAAGACAATATTTTGAACATGGTCCCTTGTTTTATAACAGAACAGAATTTTAATTCTAGTTGTTCAAAACATTTGATAATTATACAACATAATACAAAATTAATAAGTAAAGAAAGATAGATAACGAAACTAAGCTATTATAGATAAATAATTACACTCAGTTAAGAAAATAATAAAGATTTATACTAATAAACACAAAAGAAGATAACTTCAGTTCGTAAAATAAAAACAAACATATTACATTCTAAGGTTTTGGCACTTCATCTTAACAATGTCCTACATTAGGTAGTTTAGGTTTGGATATGTATATATATATATATTTTTTTTTTTACTGCTTGGCCTTTTTGACAATAACAAGATTTTGGCAGCAGGCAATTGTGGATGGGAATCAGGTGTACTACTGTAGCAAAAAAAAAATTTAATAATAAAACATAAACGAATGACTCGTAAACAAAATAAAATAAAGAGGAATAAACAGAGACTCAGATTTCTTTAATGTAAGAAAAGCAATTATAGTCATGGACAAACTTACTTTACTTCTTTTAAGAACATCATTAGGCATTAAAGCTCTTTCAGGTCTAGTTTCCTCTAAATAGTTAATTATATTCATCTGAAAAAAAAGAAAGAAAATACGGAACCTTAGTATAAAACAAAATCTATAATTATAATGCAATAAAATAAGCAAAAGACACTCAAGTAATCTATGAATCTAATTAAATTATGATAAAATATAAATTATTAAAATATGATAAAAATTATGTTTTAACATTGTTGGTAAAGTATATAATCTTGACTGAATTGTAATGAAATGAAAATTTAGATTTTTGTATGTGGGAGGCTAGTTTATCAGCATATACAAACTAGGTGACTAATTTTGTTGAATTTAGTCCAACAGTATTTGGTGTAACACAGTTGTTAAAGTTTCATATAAAACAGTTGATTAATTTGAATTTGTAGAGCCCTCTCCCAAAAAAAGGCAATAATTAACATTTATGCCAAGTTTTATCGTATTTGGCATGTTTGTTAATTAAGAAAAATGGTTCTAACCCTTTTATACCTTGAAAAAAGCATATTCCTTGAATACCTAAAGTACTAAAATCTTCTGTCCAGGCAGCGTGTTCAAGACAAAAATGAGGGCGAATTTCTCGGTGAGTAGAGAGCTGAAAGGCAGGAAGCCTAGCGTGCAGGTTGAGTTCAGTAAACCTTCTTCCTGTGTACGTGCTGACATCCACAGCCTGAGCAATAAGCAATTGATGTAGTGGTTTCTGAGGATCTTTTTTTTTGTTCTTCCCTGTCTTGCCTTTTAGGCATACAGGGTTGGTTTCTGATGATCTGCATAGCAATGAAGTGGTTATCAGCTGGACAGGTCCAGGCTCTTGGATGGTCTGATCACAGCCTCCTTGCATAGCTTCCTGCCTCCCATTATGTCTAGACTGCCTGTCGAACTGTTTTTTCAGGAAGCCCATGGACTCAAGCCACATATCGCTGACTTCAGCTGTTTTCAATTAACGCAGTAATTTGAACGACTGACATGGGATCCAAACCATTCCACACTCTTAAAAATGTTTGATACAAATGAAATATTGTTTTTCAAGATAAAAAAACAAACATAAGCAAAAATAATGTGATGGAACAGGCAACTGGTTACAAACTGATATGAGGTATACCTTTTATTTTAATGCTTTTATAGTTAATCCTAGAGAGAATTAATAAAAAGGCATGAGACAAAAGGAGGTAAGTAATATCTGCTTTTTCACTCTCTTAAAAAATTCTTAAGAAATGTTTTTTATTGTTTTTGTAATAGTAAATTTCAACAACTTAGTGTTTTTCTGAATAATTCTTTTATAGCATTATTTATTCAAATTTTATATCATTAAAAAAAGAATGAACTAATTAAAAAATAAATATTTGAAACATGAAATGATTGTTTTAGAAAAATGTATAGGTAAAATTTATTTATATTATACATAGTGTTCCTTAAGTAGAGGGACGTTTTGATAGGAGTGATAGCAGACCTCAAGACCTACAAAAAAGTTCATATAAACAATGCAACGATTTTCAGAAGAAAAGTAAGTAATCCAAGTTTTGTGTTCTTTTAAGAGAGTCAGATTTTTTTATTTTTAATAGGAAGCGATAAATAAAGAAATGTTTAATTCAAGTAATTAACAATAACTTTACTGTAAACTAGACAAAATTTACTTTAATTGAAAAGGGAGTTTGTCATTTTTAAAACTATTCGAAGAGAACATTTGAGCAACTAAACTAAGCTAAGTTCTGTTTATAAAAAAATCATAAATTATTTGCGATTTTTTTTTATCATCATCTAACTATACTACAATTATCCCACTGTTAGAAAAACTACCTCGTTTAATCAGGTTTAAATTTATGTTAATTAAATTGAGGTTTATTAGGCAAAAAATTAAGATTACCTAAGTTATGTAAAGAAATAATGTAATTTTCTATTCAGTCTCCTAAAAGTAACCGTGTTTTCAGCAAAAATGACTACAATTAACTGTTGCAAAGCTTTTATTTCTTGTTTTTCCATGATCTGGGATGTATTGTAATACAAATAATTGCCTAAATACACATTTTATTTATTAAAATAAAAAATTTAAAAATGATATTTTAAATATTTTTCATGGAAAGTGGTTATAAAATTGTGGTTTTCTCTGAAATTTCTATCATAGGAATTGATCCGGATTTATGATTGACAAATATAATGTTTCTATTCCTAAAATTAACGTTTAAAATAAATAAACCTACTGATTGCTTCAATTATTTTCATGAAAACGTAAATATTAGGGCTAGAAACATTTAGGTTGTCAGTTGTCATTACAATTAGTTGTTGTAAAGCTTTTATTTCCTGTTTTTCTATGATCTGGGATGTATTATAATAAACCCAATTGCCTAAACACACACTTTATTTATAAACTAGTGTTTTTCACCTAGATCTCTATTATAGGAATTGATCCGTATTTATAAGTGACCAACTAAATGTTCCCAATCCTAATATCAACATATTCATTAAAATAATTGCAAGAATCAGCTGTTTTTTTTTTATTTTAAACATAAATTTTAGGACTTGAAACTTTTATTTTATAACTTACAAATACAGATCAATTCCTATAATAGAGATGTGGGAGAAAAACATAGTTCATAACCAATTTACCCGGGGAAATATTTGAAAAATCAGTATTTATCAAATTAATTTTTTTTATAAATAAAATGTGTGTTTAGGCAATTGGTTTTATTATAATACATCCCAGATAATAGATAAACAGGAAATAAAAGCTTTACAGCAACTAACTGTAGTCATTTTAGCTGAAAACAGGGATACTTTTACTTGACAGGGTAAAAAAATCATAATTTTCTTTACACAATTTGAGCCTTATCTCAAGTTTTTCCCTAATAAACCTCGACTTAATTAATATGGACTTAAAGATTATTAAATGAAGAAGTTTTTGTAAAAGTGGGATAACAGTTATAGTTGGATGTTGATAAAAACCTGACTCTTAAATGAACACAAAACTTGAATTACTTACTTTTCTGCTGAAAATCGTACCATTGTTTATATGAACTTTTTTTGTAGCTCTTGAGGTCAGCTATCACTACTATAAAAATTTCCCTCTACTTGTGGGACATCCTGTAGAATGGCAGACTGTCTAAAATTTATCTATATATTTTATAATATCTATAAATTTATCAAGAGAGTTGATTCTTAACTGATTCAATCAATGTATGACCATCAATATGTAAAGCTGGAACTCGTCCCATAGGATTTATTTTTTTGAATTCCTCAGAGTTTTGCTCTCCCCCATCTTTGACTAAGTTAATAGGCTTGATATCATATTGTATTTCTTTTAAATTCAAGGCTGAAATAAATAAATAATAATAAATAAATAAATGCAATAATAGTTAAATTTGCTTTAATGTTGAGCTAAATATACACTTACCAATTCTGACACGCCAGGCACATGAACTTCTCCAGTAAGAATATAGAAGAGGCTGAAATACACAATTAGTTATCAAAATAAAATAAATACTATAAATAATTAATAGACTTGTTCTGAAAGATATTAAAAAAAAAAAAAAAGGATCTGTACCACTAACAACCCATGAAGGGTCTTGGGTTCAGTACAATGTGAGGAAGTACAGTTAAAAGGCCAATGGTTCTGCAGGGAGGTGACCGGGCCGAGGTCATGCTCGACCACCAAGTTTTCCCCTTAATTAATTATTTAAGTAAGAGTACCCACTTTATAGAGGTTAGGGGTGTGCCCCAGGATCATTCTACGGCTGATGAAAAATTACTAGTCATAAAGATAATAGTAATGAAAAATAAATATTCTTCTGCAGGGATTTCCAAACCACAATATGCAAGAACATTCTAGGTGTTATGCGAAAAAGAAAAAAAAATTTATAAATGCATCTTTTAAACACGTTCAATGAAGGATGAACAATTTTTTAAAAATTATTTTTCAATTATAAGATGAATAAACGTGATCTACAATTAATAATGATAATAATCTATGACCATTACGGTAGTAAAGATAAAAGCAGTTTGAAGAAGACTTTAAGTATCAAGTTGAGCTTCATCAAGGCTAACATTAATGCTCTGGTTGCAAATAATGCTCCCAACTGAAGAATATTGATACTTTTCTTCACAATGTTGAAATTTCACTCATTTTTTAGATATACTTTTATTTGTAAAATTGTGTGCTTATTCTCAGTTTTCTTACTGTCGCAGTTATGTGAAATCGATAAACTTTGTATTTTTAAACTTCATTTCATTTTACTATTTTTTTAAGTAAATTTATCGTAACATATATTTTTTTGGTTGCTGAATAACCTTTTGTAGATAAGTATTTTTTTTTTTTTTATAAACATGACCATTTGATACTAATATCATGAGATAAAAGTTGGTACATCGTTTTATTTGGAAAAGTGGAAGTAGTATGTAGTGTCATATTAAGTCTGGGAACTCCTGCTCAATTGAATTGAGCAATACATTGTATAATACCATGAGTATTATGAGTCATTCTTAAAATATTTTGTCATAAAATGTACACCATAAATGCAAAGCTGTATACTTTACTCACTGAGAGATGTTATTAGTATAACAGAGTAAGATTTTATAATGACTATTAACTACCAATTAACATTGATCAATCTGAAATTTAAGGTGTCAACATCAAGACCTTGGGTATGCTACTTAACATGGCTTTTTGAAGCTAGTAAGTGTAAGTAGTAGTTTAAAAAAAAAAAAAAAAAAAAAAATATATATATATATATATATATATATATATATATATATATATTAATGCCATAAATATATTACTCTAGAGCCTTAAATTTTTCTAAATTTTTCCAATATTTCTTTTAATTGGTACAAATATTTATTTCTCCTCACAGGTCAAAAATAAACAAAAATAGTATTTATAGTTCTTTAATTACTATAAGAAAAAAAGGGCTATAAACACTGTTTTTTTTGTTTTTTTTAATTTTGATCTCTGAATAAATAAAACATAAAGAGGAAAGGTCAAGAATGTAAACTAATACATAAAACCTTATTATAGTGAAAATAAGAAACTGGGAAACAATTCGAAATATATGAACCACCAACAGTACCAAGTTTCAGTCATAATTACAAAGAACAATAAATCATAGCAATATTATTTTTGGTTTCATAATAGGTGATTTTTAAAAAGATAGGATTGTGAACCCTACTGAGAGTGAGTAACAAGTACCTTTAAGAGAATAACTAAATTTAAAGAATTAATTACATCAAAATAAAATAATAGTCTCTTTCTTTCCTACATATCAGAGGGCAGAAAATTCCCTTTCATAATAAACAATTATCCAACTATAGCATAAACACTAACAAATATCAATATTTTAAAGTCATAAAAATATATTAGGTTTTAATTATAAAATGTTAGTTCCTAGGCTGAGTCGAATGGAAAAAACAAATTTAAATTATATTATTTTCATTTTAAAGTAAAGTACCCCTTACAAATGCTGCTCCACTTTGCTGGGTGGGCGCAAGATTTCATGAGCACACGATAAACGAAATTCCAAGAATGTTGGAGTACTGAAATGTTCACAGACATTACCTCTCTTTATTAAGATAAAAATTTATGACTGTCACTAACTCCCAATCAGTTCTTTTCAGTCTTAATTACAAGATGCTTATAACTTCCCCTCTCTCAAAAGGGATAAATAAATCACCTCACTAATGGGTCCTTTTCAGTTGAGGTCAGGCAGTTTTGTCACCTCTGTCTACTTTCAGATGCCCTTGGGCATTCTCAGAATTCAATTTATAATGTTACCATGAGATCTTATATGATCTACCCATCAAAGTGGAGTAATACTTGTAAAGTAGAACCCAAAATAATTTGTCAGCTTCAACACACAACAAGTTTTTATCCCTTGTATGGAGAACGTTTTTGCTGTGAATCAATTTTGAGAAATGTAAATTTTATAATAGTTAATTTTAGAGTATAAATCGATGATATACAAACAGTGAATAACAGGATAACTTGAAAAATAGACCTCACGAGTTTTGAGATTATCATCTAAGCCTCCTGATGTTGGAAATGGGTGTCCCTAGAGGACTGGTATGTTTGATTTGTGAGTGGAAGGTGAGTTATAGGATGCTTTCACCACTTGCAAAGGCTTAAGGCAGGGAGATGGGCTGGCCTGCCTACTGTTTAACTTTGCCCTAGGGGCCATTAGGCAGTCAGAAATTCAGGTTGGTGGAACGATTTTCAACCGCACGGTGCAGCTCCTTGGATACACTGATGATATCGACATCATAGGTAGGACTTTTATGGCCAAGAGCGAAGCCTTCTTAAGCCTTAAGACAGTAGGTGCATGGTTTGGTCAGCAAGTTAATCAGTCCAAGACTGAATACATGAACACTAATGCTACAAGAAGAGTACCCGAACGCATCCAAGTTCAAAGGTACACATTCGATAATGTGAACGAATTTATATACCTGGGATCTCTAGTTAAAAGCGACAATGCAGTGGGGGCTGAAGTGCAACGCAGAATACAGGCATCCAACAGATGTTACTTTGGACTAGTCCCGCAGCTTAAAAGCAGGGTAATCTCCCAAACAAGAAAGCCATGACTGCACAAAACCGTAATTAGGCCTGTTCTCACCTACGGCGCTGAGGTGTGGACGATGACCAGGGCATTGGAGAAAGACTTGTGCCGCTTCGAAAGGAAGGTGCTCAGGAGAATTTTGGAACCAATCTATGATCCAGAGGGGCCCACCTGGAGAAGGCGAACAAAACAAGAAATAATGAATATGTACAAGGATAGGAACATCATCCGTTTTATAAAGGTGGGATGACTCCGGTGGGCTGGTCATGTGGCTAGGATGAGCCCAGAGGAGCCAACTCGAAAGAGCCTGGATGAGAAGATCGAAGCCAAAAGAAGAGTTGGATGGACAAGGCTCCTCTGGCAGGATGGTGTGAAATCGGAAGCCTGCTCCATCCTCGGAACAAGAAACTGGAGAGCAGCGGCACAAAGACAAGATTGACAGAAATCATTACAGGAGGCTCTGAATCCTCGTGGGTTGTAGCACCATCAAATAAATAATCGAAAATAATAATCTAAAGCGTTCTACACGCTGTAACAAGACTGGTAACAACAAGGTTCACATGTAGACCATGGAAAGATTTAATGCTGCATTACCAACGTATTTATCACTGTGAAGAAGTATTCTTGGATGGTTGTAATATATATAATTCCTGAGGAACATTTTTCAAATTACCAAGTCAATATCCAGTGACCATAGTATTTGTGTGCATTAATGATATCTATATATCTTAATGATATATATAATAATGAATCAAATACTCTGAAAAAGTAGTAATCAATTGGTAAAAAGTCATGGTCGAAAATGTTAGCTGGATATGGTAGAACATCAATCAAAACGTAACATGTCAGTTAACTTAAACTTAAGTAAATATTAACTGTATTATAATATATAAATGAAACGTTACATATAATTTGGACATAAGTTATAGAGTAGATTATAGATCTTATATATCTTTCCCAACTCATTGTAGAATTCCTTCAAGCAGGAACAAATTTGTTGATAAATATATCAAATTTTTAATATATGTTTATAAATATACATATGTAATATTTAGTTAATATTTATCTACATAATTCATTCTACAGTACACCAAAAAGTGGGCATGTTCTCGATATGTAAATATAAATCAAACTTGGCTGAGTATTATTTTACATTGTTTATTTAATACTTAAACAGTATCCAATATCAAATGTTTTTTATTAGGGTAGATTTTGATATTTTTAGAATAATTTAACACATTCATTAGCCATAATTATATTATCATGAATTATAAAAGTTCAAGTAATCAGCAAGAAAATAATAATTAAAAACAACAAATCATTAAAAAGAATAGAAAGGATTTTGTTTACTACAATGATCTTTTCTTGGATAACAATAAATGGAAACAATTTATACTACATTAATTTATAACATAACACTAAAAGAAAATCAATTGCTAATAGAAGGGACAACCTTGCCAACAGCAGACATAATATAGTAGCAAAGTAATTACAAAGTTAATAGCAGGTCTATTATGAACACTGGCTAAAAACTATACTGTTACATAATAGTTTAAAAGAACCGGTTCGTCAAGACAATCTTTACAAAGCACTACAAGGTTTTTACTAATTTCCCAAAGCATAGGTATAACAAGTTCAAATCAAAGAAAACAATACATCATTGGGTGGTAACAAAATGTGATGTAATTAGTAGCCCCTTCATAAACATTGACGATAGATTGAATCTTTAATAGATCAACGGTATTTATAAATATTAGGTGGTTTCAGTTTTCCATGATTTTCTTTTGTTAAACATTTTTAATTAAATGAAAGCTCTTATATATTCAGGAAAGTAACATATTGCTAATACATCTATAAAACCTCTAAACAACGTGAAGTAAGATTTTATTTTACACATAGCGCAGTTATTTGAATATTAGCCTTGAATAGCGCAACAACAATGAACAGATAAGAGTCTTTTTAAATTCGTGGATATCAAGTAGTTTTGGTGAACGGAGATCTCTGTCACTAAAGCTTTTTCACGACTGCCGACGTTTTGTAGAGAAAAAAACGGACCTATGGTTCGTTCAAGCAGAGGCGCTGTTCAGCTCGTAAGACCATAAATTCAAAGACGAAATTTCAGCTGATCATCGCCTAACTTTATTTCGGAACTTTAAAACAAGTAGCTAACCTAATCCTAAAATTGTCAGGTGTCCTACTTTTGGTAGGACAGTCCTTTAATTCGTATAAACTTCCTATGTCCTACGCTAGATAACAAGTGCCCTAATTTGAAAGCCATGTATTTTATGAGAAGGAATTAGTCGAGGGTGCGGTCAAATAAATAAAAAATTAAAATATATTAATTATTTTAATTTTTGCCGACGTTTCGACCCACTTTGCAGGTCGTCTTCAGGGCTACAAAAAATACAAAACATGTTGAAAATGAAAAATAAATATAAGTATATATAAAATAAGAAGAAGTTGTCAGATACAGAAATAAAAGATGGTATCAGAGATATAGTGGGTGACAATGTAGTTAAATATTAAGAATTATATATGTAGAAGATACAAATAAATGGAAAATAAATAGGAATAAAAAAAAAATAATAAATACAAATAATTTTTTTTTTTTATTCCTACTTATTTTCCATTTATTTGTATCTTCTACATATATAATTCTTAATATTTAACTACATTGACACCCACTATATCTCTGATACCATCTTTTATTTCTGTATCTGACGGTGTGTTATTTCTGTATCTGTATTGCACGGTTCCAATTGTTTATTCCCTAAAGAGCTCATAAAAAGAACTACTGAATTTTACCTATTTTTTGGAACTTTTAAGATCATTAAATATTCTAAAAGTAAAGATAAATAAAGTGTTTTAAGAAATAGTCAGGGTAAAAGCACCAGTAACTGACATTGTACCCATGTCTAACCTCCTCCTCGAATAGTGGGAATAATAAGATTTCAGGACCTCCTAGACCTCTGTATCATAGATTTTTGGTATTTATATTTTCTTTTTGTATATCGTCTGCTTTGCTTTAGTCTTGCCAAACCATAATCGAAATAATGGGTGTGGAATCACGAAGGTCCCTCACGGTCCACTTAGTATTCCAGGAACAACCATCTATCCAGGCCCAGCCTGATAGCCAGGTCAGGCCCAGACAGGACTCCAAAATCAACGTTTTATATTGTTTTAGTACCGTGGTATGTTTGGTTCCCAAAATAATTGTTTTGTACTTTTTTTTATTACGGTAGAATGATAGGTAGGCTAGTCAATGATCTGCAAGAGCCTCCGTACAAGGGGGCCCTGTAGGGGGTTCCGAAAATCGTTATTTTATATATATTTGCCGTGTTATGTTATGTTTGACCCCCAAAATAATTGTTTTGTATTAGTTTATTTCTTCTAATTTTGTGGAGCCCACCGATGGACAACTAAGATAAATGTTTTGTACTTTTTTATCGCTTTAAAATGATTGACCCCCCTCTGAGAGTTCCAAAGATCGTTATTTTGTATTTATTTAGTTCCATTTGTGTTTGGCTTCTAAAATAGTTGTTTTTATCTGTTTATATTCGCAAATTTTTGGTGCCCTTCCGATGAGTCCCTAACATAAATGTTTTGTATTTTTACATCACTGTTGGATGATTGAAGGCCCCTCTGAGGGCCTCGAAGATCTTTGTTATGTATTTATCTAGTATCGTAGCATGATTTACCCCTAAAATAATTGTTTATTTTCACAAATTTTTGGGTATCATCCTATGGGCCCTCAACATAATTTGTTTGTACTTTTTATCACCGTAGAATAATTGGGGGGCCTCGAAGATCATAATTCTGTATTTATCTTGTACCGGGATATATTTGATCCCCAATTTTTGTTTCCTGTTGGCATTACAGACCATGTAGATTGCCGCCTTAACAAGCCTGCTCCATCTCTGCCTGTCTTGGGCTATTTATTTTCATTTATCTGCACGCAGCTCTATTGCATTCTTGTTGGTTCCATCTACCCATCTGCTTTTTGGCCTTCCACGTGGTCTTTTGCCTTCTATTGAGGCATTCATTGTTACGTAGAGGCTTCGAGATGGATTGCTATCGAGCTACATGCTCCGCCCATCTTAACCTCCGTGCCTTCATATCATGGGATATTGATTGACCAGTTTCTGTAAGCAGTTCATTATTGGTCTTTCTTCTCCATGTGTTAGTACTCTGATCCCAGATCGCTTCGGTTATCGTGCGGAGGATTTTTCTCTCAAATCTTTCAACACTTTTTTCTAGGATGCTGGTTAGTGTCCAGGTTTCTCAACCAAAACCCTTAATTTGAGATTTCTTCAGATTTTTCGGGCCTTCAATACATTTGAAAAGGAGAAGAAAGCTCTGATTGCGTTAGTTACAGGTTGGTCTATTTCTGCCCGTTGGCCATTTATTGTAGTTATTGTGGATCCGAGGTATTTCAATTTTTCTACTGTCGGGAATGATTTCCCTTCTTCGCAGATCCTGTTATTGCGTTAGAATTTTTGGCTTATTATCTTATACATTTGTTTTGTCTTCATTTACTTGTAGGCCAGTCTGTTCTGTCTATCTTATTAGTGTCTTGGCGAATTTCTCAATTTCTTCTTGATTACTTCCAAGGACAGCTATATCATCTGAGTATATAAGGATTTTATGATTCATTCCGACGTGGCTCCCGAAATAATTGTTTTGTATTCGTTTATTTCCTCTAATTTTTGGGGCTTCTCTGGTGGACCCCCAACATAAATTTTTATACTTTTTTTTTATCACCGAAGAATGATTAGGGCCCCTTCCGAGGTGCCGAAGATAGTTTTGTATTATTCTAGGATCATCCGTGGTATATTTGGCCTCAAAAATAACTGTTTCGTATTTTTTTCATTTTCGCAAATGTTTGGGACCCCTCGGGTGTTTCCCCAAAATAATTGTTTGTTTTTTTATCACTTTACAATGATTAGGGGGGAGTGGGGTAGCTCAGTGGTAGGGCACCGAGCTTCCAATGCAAAGGTCCCAAGTTCGAACCCCGGCTCATGGCAGAAAATTTATTTATCTGTTTCATTGGCCGTGGGGCGACCCTTGGTTGGGAGTCCCTCCTGGGGCACACCCAGCCTCTATAAAGTGGGTACCCTTAATTATATAATTAATTGAGGGGAAAAACCTGGCGGTTGAGCGTGATCTCGCAAGCGGTTGAGCGCTCCTTGCACAAGCGTTGACCTAGAAACAGTACTTTCCCTAAATAGTACTGAACCCCAGACCCTTCATGGGTTGTAGTGGTACAGGTTTTTTTTTACAATGATTAGGGACTACCCTCCCGTAGGCTTCTAAGGTCGTTGTTCTTTCAGTTGTTCTCAATCTTTGCAATATCTCGATATTGCCACTTTCTTCGAACCAAGCACATATTTGAAGTCTTGGACCTGTTCTAGGGTTTGTTCTTTCAATCTCAATATTCTCATTACTCGGCGGGAAACGTCGTTATATTGTTATACGTTTTGTTTTCTCTGGATTAATATCCATGTTTGTGCGAAAATAATTACAAATTTGTGGTGGGGGCAGATCAGAAGATCTAAAAGAGAACATTTAATCCGTACGAGCGCCGGTTCACTCAGCATTCCAGCAGAGGTATCCACGGAGACAACACCTGCACTTGAGGGCCCTCAGGTAGCAAATGTCTTAAGCTGGCATAAAAATGGAAAGCTGTTTTTGCTCAATTCGTATAACCTACCAATCCATTAAAATACAGTCCACTGCATAAATAAGTAGAATGTTACCCATAATTTGAATATTGCCTATTAAGAATTCATGAGAGTTATTTGCCTTGCCATAATTTAAAATTTGGAAAGTTGTCTGTCTAAACTATCCATGTTGATGCTGGACAGCTTCTCTTGCATGATATTTACATGGCTCGGTCATCCACAGCGAATATGACGAGATCATCGGTAAAAGTGAGAATTTTATTTAAAAAGTATGCTGTAGCTTCCTATGTTTCAACATTTTTTATTGGTTCAACAAATAAAACTTGTTAAACAATTAAACTTGAGTTAAAAGTGCGATTTTATCAGTGAGGAAGCAATCCGAAGGATAAAGCTTGGCAAGTATGCCATTGTGCTGGTTGAAATTAATACGTTTTTAATTGGGAAAAAAATACATTTTCCCTCAATTAAGGGCATTGAATATTTGGGATGTATGAAAAACAATCATACCATATATACAATAAATGAAAAGCAATAGAAAATTATAACAAAAGAAAACTTGGAATAACAGAATAAATCAAACATGAGACAAAATTCAATAATAAAAAAATATTTATTTACAATATTTACATTCAGCTGAGGGAGCTCCGAGTCGGGTCCTTTTTTCCACGTGTGGAGGATAAGGCAAGGCTCCAAGAGATCCCAGCGGTTCTCTCTCAGCCCCATCACTACGATGGGAATCTAATGGAGTCTAAGAGAGAGCACTAAAGCCACATACGCTCATGACTTGTGTGGGGAAGCTGGTCATTGCCAGGACTCCAGTGACCTATTTACAAAAGATCTCGAAGCCGAACTGGATAAGGATTGTGCTTAGAGATAAGGATGATAGACTAGGTTCTGATGAAAATTTGAAAATCGGGATGGAATAACGTCAAGGACATAAGGGATGTTAAGGTCATGATGTAAGGTTTTG